CCACTGTTTTGCTGTGAACCTAACACTGCTCCATAAAATAAAGTCTACTTTAAAAACTAATACATTAAAAAACAATGGTTGTAAAAGATAAACAGGATCATGGACATAATGTGATCATCCCACAAGTCTGGTCAACACTTACCCAATTATCCAACATGCCACATCTTAGAGCCTTAAACCACACAAGCCCTTCCCTACACCACTCACTCTTCACCTACCAAAATTCCAACTGTTCCAACACACACAGTCAAGCTCAATATGCTAACAAGTTCATGAAGCTTTCTTTCCCTGATCCCACCTCTTAAATGCAGATTCCTTCTTATACCTCTCTGTTCCATGTTGACATCATTGTTTCTGGCTTGAGGACTAAGCTCTGCTTTTTTTTTTTTTTTTTTTTTTTTTATCTTGCCCAAGTTCCTTTCTAAGGGAGCTGGGAGTCATGCCCTACAAATCATAAATTCTCATCAGATAAGTTTTATTTAACCCTGTACATTGTGACTTACTTTCCAATCTGACTCTGGCATAATTTTAACTCAAAATATATTTCCTTGCCATACCTTGGAATTGCCCCGCAAAGTCCCTTGTGGAAAAAAAAAATCCACATTCTACAGAGAATCCCATTTCCCCCTTGTTTCCCTTCCTTTCCAGATCCAGGAGATAATCAACTAAGAGCCAGGTACCCTTTCAAGTCTGATAAGAAACTTTTACAACCTGCTTTCTCTAAAGTCTGCTATCTGAGAGCTCTACATAATAAAACTTGGTATCCATAATCCTTTATCTTAACCTGAACATTTCCTTTGACCTCTGGTCTTCAGATAAACTCAACCAATTGTCAACCAGAAAATGTTTAAATTTACCTATAGCCTGGAAGCTCCCCGCACCAGCCCCAACCCCCATGTTAAGTTGTCCCACCTTTCTGAACAAAACCAACATATTTCTTAAATGTATTTGATTGATGTCTCATGCCTTCCTAAAATATAGAAAACCAAATTGTACCCTAACCACCTTGGACACATGTTTTCAGGACTCCCGAGGGGTGTGTCACGGCCCATGATCACTCATATTTGCCTCAGAATAAATCTCTTGAAATAGTTTATAGAATTTAAGTCTTTTTGTCAAAAGGCTCATGGTATTTAATCAAAACTTTTCATTAAATGTGACATTTTAAAAATCAGGAATTATATCTAAAAATTCAAATTTCTTACTATTCTTTAAAAAACAATATGACACTGTTACCAGATGGGAATAGGGGAAAGTAGCAGGGACTGCATAGAGACCCTCCCCGTGTGGCCTTCCCAACACTGAGGCAGAACTGCTGTCATTTATCATTGTCCCTGTGTTGTTTTTCTTCTCCCTCCCACTTCGTTCACTCCGAGTGTCAGCCTGGCTCCAGTCCCCATGTGAGGCTGTAGCTTTGTTATTTATTAATACTTATTTGCCTCTCAAACCCAAAACTCTAAGTTTTTTGAGAGTAAAGATTTGTTTCTCTTTCATCTTTATTTCTCCTATACTTCATCAACTATTTCCTGAATTTGGTGAATTATCAATCAACAAATAGGAAAAATGTTAACACTTAATTCAATATGAATGTTACTCCCTAAGGTTAGAAGTTGGTAGGACTGCATCTTTACTATATGTAAATTCACTTTGAAACTCAATGAAACCCTTTTTCATATCTAAGTCACAATTAGGTTCCTTTTGAGGGTAGAGTGAATGAGAGGCTGAGATGCAGGAATGGAAGGAAGAAATCATGTGTTGAAGGCCTACTATGTACTAGGCACTGGTTGTAGCCTAAATAATTAAAATGAGTGAAGGACAAACTAGAAATAAAAGAAGTGTGAGGGAAGAAACTTGTGTTGGAGCAGGTAGGAAGAGCATTCCAGGACAGCAAGGAGGATTCTGCAATAAGTAGTTAAACTCTTGGGCTGCCAGGTCCGGGAATGGTTACTTTGTGTGAACTTTGTAGAACATTTATAACATTTTTAGAAGTGGTGAACTGATGTCTTCTGAAGAGTCTATATGAAGTCTATGACCTTCTCTGTTCCCCCAACTGGGGTTTCTTCTTTTTTTAATCAAAGCAGTCAATTTAATTACATCTACATTGAGAAAGTCTCACTAGATATCTTGCATTATCTTGTTCCCTAGAAGAAAAATTAATCATAAAGAAATGTGTCATATAATCCCTGTTGTCAAAACAAAATAAGAAAAATTTGAAATCAGAAATAATATATTTCATTTAAGAGTGTAATAGCTTTAATCAAAGAAAAGCCATAAAGGAAATTCTTTGGCCTAACAGTGCTTGACATGTTGTACTGTAAAACCATTTTAAATTAAATTTCTTAAGATAATGGTAGATTCACATATTATTGAAAGATGTAATATAGAAAGATCTCTTGTACAATTTATCCAGTTTCCCCCAGTGGTAACATGTTACAAAACTATAGTACAATATATCAACCAAAGATACTGATATTGACACAGTCCAGAAAAAGCACAATTCTATCACCACAAATATCCCTCATGTTGTTATTTCATAGCCATATTTATTCCCTTCTGCCCTGCTGCCTAATTTTTTAACCTTTGGCAACCACTAATCTGTTCTCCATTTTTGTAACTTTGCAATTTCAATAATGTTATATAAATGGAATCATACAATATGTAATCTTTTGGATTGGTTGTTTTAACTCTGAAGTTCTCTGAAGATTAATCCTGCTGCAAACCTTCTGATGCCAATCTTGGGGCAGAATCAAAATCTAGTAAACAAAGACCTGGGGTTCGCTGATGACTCACATGAAAGCAAAGAGCACAAGAAAGATTTAAATTTCACTGTGCTTCGTTCTCTGTGACAGGTTTCTCTGCTGTGTCTTCCTACCACTGTAAAAATATAAAAACATTCTCATTGTCAAACCATTTTACTACCAAGACTATTTTACACAGTGGGATTATAAGCCTTTATGTTTGTGTGGCCATCAAGGTTTACGAAGCTTGTCTCAGAAAAACATGGCCAATTAAATAAGAAAGTTCAAAATCACCCTTATTCATACTAATCATTTCCAATGTATACCAATTTACAGCTAATTTCTTAAGTTTTCCACTTAGAATTCAGTCTTCACTCTCTCACAATATAAAAATAAATCTCACTGGAATTGCTGTTGTTGAAAACAGAAGCCCTTATGTTGTGTTTTAACTACTGAAGAGAAGAAATGAGTGCATCTGTCAGCTCCAAAATCAAAAAACCACAAGGTGATTTTTTTGTTCTCCAAATTTTTCCTTCAATACACTTAGGATGTCATTCATAACCACTTCTGATACCTGCCAACCTTGACAACAGAATCTCATCACTGAATATTATTTCAAAAGGAAAAGCAAAATCTTGACCAGATAATTGCCCGGCTTTTACTCCTTACCATTTTTAAAAACAGATATCAAATACGCTCATCTCACATTAGCAAGTAGACAATCCAAAGAATAAGCTACAAATAATGAAAGGGTCCGCCATCTGTTGCCATGTTTCTAAAATAGGGGCCTAAATTCATCCATCTTTTAATCCGACTCACAGTACTCTACTGGTGACAATTTCTTAAGCAAGTCAAAACTCGTTAGTCATCAGACATATGATTACTAGACGAAGCACATACTCTAAGTTTCTAACCTATGCATTCAAGGAAGAAAAAAAGAAAAAGAAAGTCTCCAGACGGTTCCTTCTGGTGTTTGTATAGGCTAATTAAAGGAAAAAAGTAGAAATGATGTTACTTAAACATTTAAATAATCACTTGCCCAGTTTAAAAAAAAAAATGAACAGCAAGGGACCATCTACTTCCTCAATAACCTTACTACATACACATGTGCATGTACATGTACACACACATACACACACACACACACACACACACACACACACCTTTAGTATCAACTTCCATAATACAATCTTAAACTACCACTCCTTTCCCTGCTCCCAGAAGGGACCTAAGGCAAGTACCAACGGCTCCATTTAGATTCCGGAAAGTTAACCAGGATAACGGTACACACTCCTTACTCGTTGCTGTTAACTCACTAATACAGGTCTGTCTCTCCAGTCCCAAGAGAAAACTCCTAGTGGGTAAAGACCCATGTTCCAATCATCTTTGTGTGCCCCACAGTGCTATGATCTGCAAAATGTTCTACGGAGTGAGCACTAAATAAGAAATGCTGAACGTTGAAGAAAAAAACTAGATGTTCTTAAGAAGAGATGTATAGAATTCCAGAATGCCATACGCAAATGTTCTCATTCCTAAACCTCCCAAAGAAGGTAGGGCATATTTAGCTTTGTGGCATTATGTGTCCAAAATGTTATGTACAGATTTTAAATAACGCATGTATGGCTGAATTTTCTCATCTGAACAATGAGAATAACAAAAACACCTAACTGATAGGGTTTTGAAACAGTTAAAGATGTTGGTATAGGTAGGTAAAGTCTCCTTAGATCAATGACTTGAATGCTATACACTTTACTTATTAAGGGTTACTCATTTTACGGTATATAATAAATAATATAAATAAACAAGTAAGGTCCACACAGCCCTGCAAAGGAGACCAAAGCTTAAAAGAAATTAGCCTAGAGGACATAATACCACAGTTTCGCAAAATTCTCTGTAAAGGGCCAGACACTACTGTAAATATTTTAGGCTTTACAGGACACGCCGCAATACCCTCAACCCTTGGAGCAACTGTTCTCCCTGAAAAATTAGTAGGTTTCTTGTTTACATTTTACAGTTTAAGAATCATTCTTAGTTCATGGGGTCATACAAAAACAGGCTGGATTTGGCCCCCAGACTCTGGTTTGCCAACCCCTGGTGTTTTAAAAGCAACATAAAGAAACGTTTATGAATTGCTTAAAGTGACTGAAAAACGTGCGGCCCCCCAAACTTTTAAAATCAAGACAGGCGGACCGGCGCTGTGGGGAATCGGGCCAAGACTGAAACCAGTTCTCAGGAACCTCAGGAACCCCTGCCCACACTTACTCCCAGCAGCGGCCCGCGGCCAATCACCGTCTCCCCGGGCGCCAGGGCCACCCGGGGACCGCCGTCCCGCGGCTGCAGCTCGAAGCCCCCGGACATGGTGGGCGAGGATTAGGCCTCTTCTCCAGGAGACTGACCCGTCCGCTGTTTCCGCCCTCCACAGACACGCGCGGGGCAAACCCAGGCCACGGGAAAAACACCGCGGGAGGGGCGCAAAGGCTCCGAGCGGCTACGCCGGTGCTCTAAAAGCCCAGCCCCAGCCTACCGAGTCCCGCCCCTCCACGCCTACTGATGACGCGATTGGGGGATTCCCCCGTCACACCGCCTCAAAATTATTATTTAAAAACCCCGGCTTATTCTCCACCACCCTTCTCACCGCCCACCCAACTTGGAGGACGCCGGGCCTTGTAGTCCCTGGAGCCTTTCTTTCCTTCCTTTCCCGAGCTGAGACGCCCTGGCAAAAACTACCAATCCCCAAAGGCACTTCGCGCCCCTCTCGGCGCCTGCGCGAGTTCCGAGTCAGCAGGGCGGGGCTCAGGTGGGCGGGATGTGGAGGGCTATGGGGAACGATTCGAATTCCGGAGAATTTAAATCGCGGCAGAAGCCACCGCCATCCAGTAGGTAGGAATGTCTTCCATTGGCTTAGGTGGCTTAGTTGTCTACGCGCTTAGGTGTCTACGCCTTGGCTTAGGTGTCTACATGCTTGGGGGCGCGGCCCCGACGCAAGCTGAGCCTCCCCTCCGCAGCCTGGAGCCGCGGTGACAGCGCTGACGGTTGTTGTTTTTCACTTGTCTGTGTCCCGTGTTCTTGGGCTCCAGCAGCTGCAGCCCGCGCGGGACACAAGGAGGGTGGCCCAGATGGGACGTGGGGTGATTAGCCCTGACCCACGGGATCTGGACGAAGTGTGGCTCCCAGCTCCTCCGACTGCGCTGCCTCCGATCCATCCCGCCAAGTGACAGGTGAAAGAGGAACGAGATTTTACCTCACTTGAGAGAGAATTCAGCAAAGCTCGGTTTATAAAGGAGAAAGGGAAAAAAAAAAAAAATGGGAGTCGTTTCCAGGCATCCAGGGAACTTGGACGTAAAAGAAAGATTGCTGGTGGGATTTTAGAACCTCGCCAAGGCACCCCCTGCGATGAAATTCAAAAGCCTTCATTCCCGTTAAGGGAATTCCACAAGGGAAGGCATTTGATTCCCCTAGTAAGATCCTGGAAGAAGTGGATAAACACACTGTAACGTTTCAATACACTGTAACATTGTCCTAATGTGAGATTTTCAAGAATCTGGTGGTTTGGCTTTGGTGTGTATTGACTGTGGGAGGGGCCAAGGTATGTGGCAAAAACTTGCGCTTGACTCACTCTTGTTTTTACCAGTTTGCTTTCTTCCTTCCCCAAACCCTCAAGAAGAAGACCTCTGTTGAACACAGACTACAGTTCCAGCCACCACAGCTAATCTGGATCATAAATCAACCTCATGAATGGGAGCCACCATGGTCTTGACAAGTCCAGAAACATATAGCTGAGTAGTTCATCTACAAAAGAGATTTGTGTTTTATTGAGTTAAAAGAAGTATTTAGCTCTATCTCAAACCCCTCCTCTTGCACAACCAACCCCCATTATAAAAGGAAGTGCAAAATGGAATAAATTGATTTTAAGTGAGTACAAGCCGTCTTTGTATACAAAAGTAACTCAAGGGTGATGATGTACCCAGTGATGCTTTCAACTGATTTAAGAAACCTGCACCATTCACCTTAGGTACATTAGCTGAAACTGAGCTTTAAATCTGGGCTTCAAATAGTCACATGCTATACCTAGCTGAGTTCTAAACATTGTTTACAGTTGTGACTCACTGTTGCTTGATGGCTTCAGTGACTGTTATGCTTAACTCTTAATTAACTATGCATGTAGAATAACTTCAAGGGGTCATTTCTAAAATACTAATAACTGAGTTGAATATTTGAGACTTTGCATGACTTTGCGTCCTAACCCAGATCTCATCTTCTCGTCCATTTTGGATAGTATTTGTGTCAAATGTAAGCACCTACCTACCCATTACATTACAAGTAGAAAACATTATTATATAAACAACTAGAAGTCCAGCCGGTTTATGATTAAGTCACAAATTGCAAATCAAAAATTTAATGACAAGGCATCAGTACCCATATACAACAAGTGTTTAGAAGTTTAATAGGATTGACTCATATACATTTTCCAAGATAAAAAAGTACTGGGTGTGGTGGCTCCTGCCTGTCATCCTAGCACTTTGGGAGGCCAAGGCAGGAGGATCGCTTGAGGACGAGAGTTCTAGACCAGCCTAGGCAACATAGCAAGAACAATTTCTCAAAAAGTTTTTGGTTTTTGTTTTTTTTTTTTCATTTTGTTTTGTTTAAAAAAAAAAAAAAGGTATGGGGGACACTAAGTTGAGAGAACCGCTTGAGGCTGGAGGTTGAGGCTGCAGTGAGCTATGCTGACACAGCTGCACTTCAACCTGGGTGAGAGTGAAACTAACATGTTGAGTGCCTCCCAGGTGCACTAAAGATGTGGCAAGACTAGATGTTTTACACATTATCCCTGTTAATCCTTGCAAGAACTTTCAGGAGAGGAGCAGCATTGGCCCATTTTACAGATTGAGATGCTAAAGTCAAGAAAGTTAGAGTTCTTAAATTATACCTAAAAAGCATCTGACTCAAAGTAGGATTTATAGCCCTATTTGGAGACTAAGCATGTTTAAATTTTGCCTTTTAGGTTACATGTGAGGATAATTTACTAAAACATTAAGCTATGCAGAAAAACTCCAAGAGAAGCAATAATTCAAGAGTTTCTCACACAGACACGAACTCTGTGGATGCTAAGAAGGAAAAACATGAGAGTCAAAACAACTTTGTTGACCTGCTGCCTGAAGAAATCAGTTTAAAAATTTTCAGTCAGCTGGACATACGGAGTTTGTGCAGGGCTTCCTTGACATGCAGGAGCTGGAATGACACAGTAAGAAACAATGACTCTTTATGGAAACCTCACTGCATGACTCTAAGAGCTGTGTGCCGAAGAGAAATAGATGATGATTTAGAAAGTGGTTATTCTTGGAGGGTAAGTTTAATCTTTGCAATCTGCAGTGTTTTTGACAGTGTCATGATAGCAGTGTCATGATTTTGAACCAATGATAACTTCTGCTGCTTGGAGGAAATAGAATTGCATATGCAGAATAACATAGAGACTGTATTGACTTTGGGAAACCAGTTAAAGTTAATAGTCTTTTCCTGCTAACCACACTGTTTACACAGTATCTTTCATTTATCCTTTTGCATTTTTGAAATTCTAAATTCAGGAATTTTCTTCTGTTGACCAGAGGGGAATTAGCTCCTTCTTTTCACTTCACCTTATCCCAAACCCCCAGTAAACAGTGTGGCCCACTCTATAAGTACACATATACATGTACACACGTGCACAGATATACAAATTTATTAGTATATGTGTATATCAATGTAGATACTCTTTTTTTTCAGCCCTGTCCATCCCCTTCTCTAGCTTTAAACACAACCACCTACTACAGTCTTTTTTTAATGGTGATTTATCTCTTTCAGGTAATACTCCTGAGGAATTACCAGAAGAGTAAAGTGAAACACGAATGGCTAAGTGGCAGATATAGCAACATTTGTTCTTCCATTAGCCTACCAGAAAAAATCATGTACCCAATGGATGCAGATACATGGGGGGAAATTCTAGAAGCAGAACTGGAAAGATAAGGGGGAAAAATTCACAAACAGATCTCAGGTCTTTGAGAGTTTAAAACTCAAATGACTCTTAGGTTGCAAAAGGAATATCTTTATTTGTTCATTTTGTTGTTGTTCACCTTTTTAAAAGAAAAGAAAATAGAAAATATTATAAAAGTAAAGCTTTATTTTTGTTTTGCACTTTAGTAAAAAATATTTTTCTGGTTTTATTGTAATGTGGAAAAATCATGCAATGTTATTTTTTTAATATTTAAATATTTTTAAATTAAAGTTCTCGGATACATGTACAAAACATGCAGGTTTATTACATGGGTATAAATGTGCCATGGTGGTTTGCTGTACCCATCAACCCGTCATCTGCATTAAGTATTTCTCCTAATGCTATCCCTTCCCTAGACCCCCACCCCAACAGGCCCCAGTGTGTGATATTCCCCTTCCTGTGTCAATGTGTTCTCATTATTCAACTCCCACTTAAGAGTGAGAACAAGCAGTGTTTGGTATTCTGTTCCTGTGTTAGTTTGCTGAGAATGATGCTTTCCAGCGTCATCCATGTCCCTGCAAAGAACATGAGCTCATCCTTTTTATGGTTGCATAGTATTCCATGGTATATATGTGCCACATTTTCTTTTTCCAGTCTATCATTGATGGGCATTTGGGTTGGTTCCAAGTCTTTGCTATTGTAAACAGTCCCACGTGTGTCTTTATAGTGGAATGATTTATAATCCTTTGGGTATATACCCAGTAATGGGATTGCTGGGTCAAATGGTATTTATAGTTCTAGATCCTTGAGGAATTGCCACACTGTCTTCCACAATGGTTGAACTAATTTACACTCCCACCAACAGTGTAAAAGCTTTCCTTTTTCTCCACATCCTCTCCAGCAGCTGTTGTTTCCTGACTTTTTAATGATCGCCATTCTAACTGGCAGGAGATGGTATCTCATTCTGGTTTTGATTTGCATTTCTCTAATGTCCAGTGATGACCCCTTTTTCATATGTTTTTGACCACATAAATCTCTTCTTTTGAAAAATGTCTGTTCATATCCTCCATCCACTTTCTGATGGGGTTGTTTTTTTCTTGTAAATTTATTTAAGTTCTTCATAGATTCTGGATAGACTGCAAAATTTGTCAGATGGATAGATTGCAAAATTTTTCTTTCATTCTGTAGGTTGCCTGTTCACTGTGATGATGGTTTCTTTTGTTGTGCAGAAGTTCTTTAGTTTAATTAGATCCCATTTGTCAATTTTGGCTTTTCTTGCCATTGTTTTTGCTGTTATAGTAATGAAGTCTTTGCCTATGCCTATGTCCTGAATGATATTGCCTAGGCCTTCTTCTAGGGTTTTTATGGTTTTAGGTCTGACATTTAAGTCTTTATTCCATCTTGAGTTAATTTCTGTATAAGGTGTAAGGAAGGGGTCCAGTTTCAGTTTTCCGCACATGGCTAACCAGGTTTCCCAACACCATTTATTAAATAAGGGAATCCTTTCCCCATTGCTTGTTTCGGTCAGGTTTGTCAAAGATCAGATAGTTGTAGATGTGTGGCATTACTTGTGATACCTCCGTTCTGTTCCGTTGGTCTCTATATCTGTTTTGGTACCAGTAACATGCTGTTTTGGTTACTGTAGCCTGTAGCCTTGTAGTATCGTTTGAAGTCAGGTAGTGTGATGCCTCCCACTTTATTTTTTTAGCTTAGGATTGTCTTGGCTATATGGTCTTTTTTTTTTTTTTTTTTTTTTTTTGGTTCCACATGAAATTTAAAGTAGTTTTTTCTAATTCTGTGAAGAAAGTCTGTGGTAGCTTGATGGCGATAGCACTGAATCTATAAATTACTTTGGGCAGTATGGCGAAATGTTATTTTTATAAGATAATATACTAATAGAGTGATTTCAAAATATAATGTTTCATATATTTGTGATAATATATTCACAATACTAAATGAAAGAGTGACTGGTATGTTCAGCTTAATGATAATTCAGAATTTCAGGAAGCCACTTGAAACTTAAGATTCATTAAGTGGTAGATATAACTAGGCTCATAGGAAGACTAGCTAAGTAAAATTAATAGCAATACATTTAAATTAATACACTGGCATTTTAACCACTTTAACCTTTCCATTTCAATGGAATCAGATTGAAATGTCCAATAGTGAAACTATTTTAAATGTGTTGAGCCTGTGGTTTAGTTTTAAGTTAATGTAATCTTAGAGCTTATGTGAACCTGGAATGGCTCTCAGAAGCTGAAAGTAGGTGGAAAGTTTCCAGAACACTTAACTACCATCAGAGCTGCCACCTTAGCCTGGTAAAACTCTCTTTCTGACAGCCTTATAGCACCATCTAGTGTGCTATTCTTAGATACTCCGACAAAGGAGTTTCAGCTCCTTTTTGTTTTCTCCATAATAAAAAGAAAGAAAACTATTATTCTAAAGAATCCTTAACACTAGTCTTTGTTAAAGTTTATAACGTTTTAGGAACCTTTAACTTTTTATATTTTTTTATTTTTTTGAGATGGAGTCTCACTGTCGTTCAGGCTAGAGTGCAGTGGCAAGATCTTGGCTCACTGCAACCCCTGCCTCCCAGGTTCAAGTGATTCTCCTGCCTCAGCCTCCCAAGTAGCTGGGACTACAAGCGCATGCTACCACACCTGACTTATTTTTTATTTTTAGTAGAGACAGGGTTTCACCATGTTGGTCAGGCTGGTCTCGAACTCCTGACCTCAGATGATCTGCCCGCCTCGGCCTCCCAAAGTGCTGGGATTACAAGCATGAGACACCATGCCTAGCCAACTTTTTTCATTTTAACTTTGGTTTCTCCTTTTCATAAAAACAGATAATATACTACTCACTATACAAACTATTCTGAATCTGTAGTCAACACCATAGTAAAAAGTGTCTACGAAATGCTTTAGTTAGTATGGCATTTTCTTCTTAAAAAGTGTTCTCTGTAGCATTAAATATAAGAATCCAGGAAACCAGTATTTAACAGATAGACAAATATTAGAAAGATGCCCCGCTATATGCAAATTCCCTATGTTGAATCAAGCAGTAGATAATTAATTGTCTCCTACTATCTTCTTAGAGTTGGAAGAGGCTTTGAAAATCAGGCAGTCAAGTCTCCAGGATTATTTAGTAATTTTCTCAATAGGAACACTGTCAATCAGCCAGCCTAAGCTCAAATCCTGTACTTCTACTAATTGAACCTCTAATATGTCGCAAAACAGTACAGTTGTAGTCTAGGCTTGCTCTGAGCCTTAGAATTTCTTCCTCATTGAACTGAAGACCACCTCTCTGCAATGTTTGTCTTCTAGCCCCACATCTACCCTCTAGAACCAGGCTGATTCAGTCCTCCTCCTTTATGATTGCCAGATATTTGAAGACTGCTAGCCTGTCTCTTCCTAGATCTTCTTCCTAATTCCACTGATAATCATAGAGTATAATTTCTAGATCCAACAGCATTCTCTTTTCCTTTTTTTTTTTTTTTTTTTGAGACAGAATCTTACTCTGTTACCAGGCTGGAGTGCAGTGGCGCAATCTCAGCTCACTGCAACCTCCGCCTCCTGGGTTCAAGTGATTCTTCTGCCTCAGCGTCCCGAGTAGCTGGGACCACAGGCACGTGCCACCATGCCCGGCTAACTTTTTTTGTATTTTTAGTAGAGACGGGGTTTCACCGTGTTGGCCAGGATGCTCTTGATCTCTTGACCTCATGATCCGCCCACTCAGCCTCCCAAAGTGCTGGGATTACAGGCGTGAGCCGCCACGCCCGGCCTCCAACAGCATTCTCTTCTGTCCATGTTCTCTTAACAAAAGAAAGGTATCCTCCTAATTTTATTTCATAAAAGATAAGAAAACACTTTGAAATTTTCAAAATATGGGAAAAATTAAAGCTATAAGCATCTTGCTGAATAGCATCTATGTACAATAGTATATGCACACATATTTTTAACCGTTTTTTTGTAATGGATGTGGATTTTGTCCAACCCCCTTACTATCACCATCATCTGTTAATAGAAGTTACCCTAATTAAGAGACTCACCCATCTCACTTCCAACCACCTACTATACATGTGGCTTTTTTTTTTTTTTTTTTTAAACATTATCCTGTTTTTCGCAGTCTCTGTGTTTAGTATCAGGATGGAAACATGATCCAATCTATTCTTTCTGTAAGTTGGAAGAAAGAAGCCCTTTTCTCTTTGCTGATGAAACTGTTCCCTGCCATGCAAAGAAAATGGATCTTAGGTAAGAGAATATGGAGCCACCAGGAGACAGAACAGTTTCAGGGAAAGCGGCCCCATTGTATTCCAGACCCTGGTTCCAGCCATTCCTCATCTGCTTACCTAAACTAATTCAAATTGAGTTTTGGCATCATACTGGGAGCCCTACCTGATGTGATTTCTTTGCCTATTTTTAAAATGTAGTATTTTTGGCTTACATTAGTATCTTAGATTTTACTGTTGACTTCCTCACCAGTCATTCAGTTATCAATCTGCTGTCATATGGCCATCACTCCACATGGTGGAAACTGTTGGTATCCAAATTACAGGTTACTTAATGGCTAAATCCATTGGATGCATTTTAATCGTTAATATATTTGACACACATAAACACTCACACTGACACACATAAGTACTTCCGAAAAACTCTCTCCTGCATGGTTTGGGACTACAGCCTCTTGGACTTTTCTTTCCCTTCTCTAACCAGACTTTGCAGTTTCCCCCAAAGTCTCACTTTTGTTCATCTACTCATTACACGTTAGTGTTCCCCAAGGTTCTGACTGTTGCTCTCTCATCTCTATATTCTAACATCTTTGGTGATCCCATCTACTACTCCTGTGTCAGCTACCATTGTTGGTGCTGATGACGTCCATGTTCGTGTCCCAACGTCAGAGCTCCTGGAGATGCTCCAGAAATACATATGCTACTATCTTTTGGATTTTTAGCAAAGTTATAAACACCTGAATCAAAACTTGTCATCTTATAAAAGTAGTTCTTCCTCCAGTTCCTATCTCAGTGAATGATAGGTCCTGTTAAAAAAAACAACATATTTTACTTTTCTCCATCATTCTCCATGTCCAGTCAAGTCAATTCTTACTGATTTTATCATCTAAATATCTAAGTAATTCACCCCTTCTCCATCTTTATCTCTGCCTCATTACTTAATTCCTGTCCTTACTCAAAATTGGGATTTCTAAAATAACTTCTTAACTGGTGTGCCTGCCTCCAGTTCCTTCCTTTTACTGTTAGCAGT